TAAGCATGGGGGATTTGTAAGAAAAGAAAATGATTATGAACCAGACGATGAAATTCCACTTAACGAATGGTTAGAAAAGTATAAAGACTCTGACTATGAGTATGACACAGACGAAGATGTCCCAATGTTGTCGAAGAACAAGTTAAAACCAAATTGAGTGATTTCAATTTCTTCGAATATGTGAGCATTGATAATGGCATTCTTACAAGAGAAACGTTGACCGATGAACAAATTATAGACTCCGTAACCTCATCTACAGCTTTAAGCGATAATGAGAAAGATGACGATTTAGGTGAAACGTATTCTACTGTAGAACACTAATAGTGTTCCAACCATTTCAAATTGAATTTTGTTTATCTTTTCGTGTTCTTTTTAGTCATACCTACTAACTTCTACTACTCTATGTAAAAATAACGAATAAAATACACCTCGTGTTTTTGTATTATTATTCGCTTATAGCGAACTCCGGATATAACGAACCAGTTTAAGTTCATTTTTCAAGTTCGTTATATCCGGACTCAACTGTATATAACATCCATTTCGTCGGTGTGTTACAAAACTAATCTCTATTCAATCAGAAACACTGCAAACCTGCGAATAAATCCCATTTGTTTCGGATCGTTGTAATTAAATTGGATCATTCGATCCTTTCCGCATGCCTTCTGACGAAAACTACTTGCCTCGGTCTAAACGACCATAAATTTCTATTCATTTCAAGTGGAGATTTTAATGTTGATTTTTCTTATAATGGAACCCAAAATATAATGTAATTTCTTGACTCAAAGTTACAATTAAAAACGATAAATAATCCAGAAAAAGCAACAATCAGGCAAGATAAAATCGAGTTTTTAATAAAAATTCGTTTATTATTAGATACAATTATCATAAACCAATTGTCACTTTGATGAAAAATCAGCGAGTCAACTGCAACCATTGATAAATGTTAAATGCTGTAAATATAATATAAATTTTACATTCAAAAGGAAATTAAATTACATTTTATCTATTTCTGATACATTTATAAATTATTAGACTTTAACCTTAACGAGAATATTGAAATTATACATTAGTATTGCCATCATGCGTTAAACAAGGATAATGTATTGTAAATGTAAATAATAGGGGTTTTTAGAAGTAGACCTTTAAGGCCATCGTACTGGCTTTATTGAAAGACAATTGCTATTATAGCTTAAAAAAAGTCCATTCAGTCGTAACAACGTGAGTGAGGAAATTCGAATAGTTTTGACCCAGAAAGCGAAATTTGAATATCAGACACTTAGGTGCAAGATTATGCCAA